TACTGACTTGCATGTATTTAAACCTGAATAATTACTAGATCTAGATCTAATGAGACCTGTGTACTAAACAGGCTTGAGTCGATTGGGCCAAACCTAGATCTAAGTACGGCTAGACTGGCAGTCTAGCCGTACTTAAGTACGGCTAGCCACTTCGATAAGTTAAACAGCAAGCTATACTACATCTATATTTATGACTAGATCTAGACAGAATCTTAGGACTCAAAATTAATTTTGTTCGTTTGAAGAAACAAAATCATTATTTTAATATGGAAAGTAGATTTACTGGGCCTAGTTATTGTATCTCAAAATCTGCACCGACAAATACATGCAATTCATTAGTAATAGACCGGCGGCGTGACGCCAAAGAATAGCTTCCGATCTATTGACCGGCGCGACGCCGGAGAATAGCCACTTGCAACAAAAAAAAAGTTTAAGTAAACTTGATTGATCTAGAGTCTAGATCTAATCTATATTTAATTAGGAAGTACTTCCGTAAGCCGTAAGGAGCAACCACCCCAACAAGCACAATAAAGAAGTGACCTAGATTCTAGCTCTAACCTCTACCCCTATCCCAAACCCTCTATTATACTCTACTTTAGATCTAGATTTCATAGTGGTCGCTCGTTACGGAAGACTTCCCTCTACAAAAGACATCCAAATGTCATTGCAGATAGATCTAAATAGACTATGGACTTGGTAGGCCATCTCATTTAGCATTTATGCCCCAACAATTACCCTGATTCAGATTCACCAGGCATCACGTCATCAGAGACTAGATCTATACTATTATTACTATGCCATCATTGATCATAATAATTCACCATACCATAGCCTAGCCATAAAATAATAGAGGTAGAATCTAGCGTCAATTGCCACCGAGTGACGCGGTGTCAAGTCTGAAAACAACACTATCTTTAGCATTATTATGCATAATGTGTGTCTAATGGGTCAATTTGTTCTCAACTAATTTCATTGGACGACTAGTCTAGAGCTACGGTACCAACTTGGCGTGTTTTCAATGAGACGTAGGCCTAGACTAGATCTAGGCTAGCCTTAGCCTACACTTTGCTGTAGAACCAACACAGTCACAGGCAATTCTAGAAGTTCTAAGGTCACAAATGCACCCAAACTCAAGCAGAAATTCACGTTTTATCAGGGAACATAAATCGGGGAACAGGGGTCAGGAAAAGACACACACACACTCACAGAGGTAGAGGGACAGAGAGGCGAACGCACAACACCGAGCACTCAAGCACAATAAGCTAGATCTAGATCTTCCCACCAACGCAAAAGAGCTCCAATTTACTCGGAGGCAATTGACAAAAAGTCAATTTTTGTCAATTGCCACCGCGTCACTCGGTGGCAATTGACACTACCAAAATAATAATATAAACATAACAGGACAAAACTTGTCTTTACAATGTGTTGAATAAGCAAAACACAGGACAAATTATCAATAGATAACAGCAGTGTAGTAGTAATAAAAGATAACTAAGCTAAGGCTGACGGGTAAGACACAAGTTTTAAAAAATAAGCAGGGAAGGGGG